TTGAAATTTAGTAATGGATTGTGAATAAGTCTATGACATAGTATAACCTGATGCCACTTCAGACCACTTCTGAACCTGCTTTGTGATTAGTGACGCCTCTAACTATGCACACATTCTTACATACTGTTCCCAATCCTCCCCAGTTAACCAGAGGCCAATGCTTATAATCTGAAAATGGCTGAAGATATATTTAAGTGCTATCTTCTCACATAATCTTATTTCTCTGCAATATTTTTTCCTAACAAATAAACCTTATCACTTCTACTACATTCTTATCTTGCCTGAATTCTCATGGGACACATGGATGAGATAACATATTGGCATGCACACATACATTAGAATACTTACTATGGGACCACTATAAAGAATGTGGATATTTTTATTTACTCAAGGAACTGTAGGAAATATAAGGCACATGTTTATTAAGTATTCACAGAAGGGAAGTGCCCAGTGCATATTGTTCTCATAAAAATAAACTATGAACTCAACATTTACTGAGGAAGGGAAATGGATGGCTTAGGGGCAGGAACAACTTCACTGTATACTTTAATGGTAATTGTTATTACCTACTCAAACCTAAAATTAACAATAAGCTTGACAATTGTAAGAATTATGAAAGGTCTACAAATGCCTATTCATTTAAATAGTTTAATATATTTTTCTCACATTTTCTGCATATAGCACACATTAACATACATTTTAGCCAAATTGATACATAAAACAGGAAAGTCTGGGAAAAAAATATATCCCAATATTTATTGCAAATACATATTGTTTCTTATACAAGAGACTTTTATTTGACCATTGCAAGCTGAGTCCAGACTGCCTTAAGAAGTCTCCCGAGGTCACCCAAGCAGTAAGCTGTGGTGCTAAAATCTAAATATAGTACTAAGGTACCTGATCTTCCTCAGTGTGTCTGAAGCTTTTTGGTACTGTAAAGCCGAATTCGGAAATCCTTACCCAAAAGACCATCAGAGACCCGTCGCCAATGTAAAAGCAAAGGAGTCTTTATTGCAAGCTTGAGCTTGTTCCCTGCCGCATACAAGGCAGCAGCCCATGACACTGAAAGAGCCCAGGGTTACAGCACTTTTTATACACTATTTTAGGGAAGGCAGGGGCTTTGCATACATCATAACTTCTTGTAACAAATGACTACAAACCACGGGAAAATCATAAAACAACTCTATAGTATGATTGGCGCACTACAAAGCGGGAAAGGACCAGAAACAAGTTGTTGGTTAGATCAAGGGGGCTGACGTACTTAAAACTGGTAGGCTTGCACCACAGGGGAGTCTCAAGAGGATAGGTGCTAAACTGCAGGGTGTCTGGTTTAGATAATGGTCACCAGACCCTAGGAGGGACTGTTCTGGAATTTCAGATATCATAATTCCAGGCATTGGGGCTGAAGTGGGTCAAGGGTTAAGTTGTAGAACTGAGATGAGGGTCTTAAGTGAAATGGAGTTGCTTAGGTTCCTCAGTACAGTCCTGTGCAGCAACATTAAAATTAGGAGCTTCCTGGCACTCACTGAAACCTGTCATCTATTTGCTGCCTAAATACTTTAGCAGTCACTGAGCAGATGATGTCTACACAGTGTCCTCACAAGTTACCAGAAACCAACTAAGGATCTAAATAAGCCCTACAGATATTTAACCTGGTAATTAAAATGAGGCTGAATTTATCATCCCATAGTCTCCCCTTATCAGGGACATAAAACAGTATTTTCCTACAGGTAAAATGAAGCCGGGCATTTTCTAACAACACAACATTCTGAATGTAAAGCATAATCTATACTATCTGTGCCATCAGATCTTAGAGAAAACAGGCAGACTCAGTACTACAGACACCCCTGTGGAAACAAGCCTGGTGTAAGATCTGAATAGGGACACCCCTCTCCCTCTTGGCTAAGTTTCTGCCCAGTATCTGTTGCCTAGGTAACTGCCAGACCTGGAAGCAGTCACCTTCCCCTCCAGCTAGGTCACATCCCTAGCCACCTCTGGTCACATGCCTCCCATCTGACCTTAAGAGGGTCCCAGATCCTGAGGTCACATCCAGATCCAGTGCAACCACACCTTTCCCCCACCTGGCCACAACTCTTACTGTCCCTGGCCTACATAAGTCCTGGCCCAGAGGGGGGGTCTCCCCCCACCCCCTTTCCTTTTCAGCCGTGCTTCTCCACTATGCACGGGAGGGGCAGCAGTTCCGTAAATAAACTTCTCCTACCTAAATGGCGTGTGGTTTTCTCTTCATCGGCTACCTAATGAAACCAACCTATTTAATATACCTTACACCAGACAGCCCATTTTATCATCCAACAGAGATGAGGTTTAATGAAGCTCCCCTTAAAGTATAGGAACTCATCACTGAGGGTTCTTGACTTCAATCACAGAATAAGAATTTCTAGACAAGTCGCTATGGTAAGAAAACTTGGCAGAGCTAAATTAAGTAAACAAGCAAGAAAACAAGACAAAAAAGCAAACAGAAGGGCAGGGGCACACTCCAGCAGAGTGTGGGTGCTCTCATAGGGATGTTATACCGAAATTCGGGGACCCCCAGAAGACCACCAGAGACCACGATCAATGTAAGCAACAAAGAGCCGGTTTATTGCAAGCTTGAGCTTGGTCCTCCGCGCACATGGTAACCGGTGACGCTAGGAGGCCCTGAGCATAGAATCAGTGCAGTTTTTATAGTATTGAACAAACAACTTTAAGGAACTTTTACATAAGAAATTACATGATTGGTTAACATTTACATTTAAAGCAAGCTAAACTGGGCAAATAATGACTGGTCGATCTTTACAGAAAAAATGTCCTTGGTCCATAGCTTGACCAAAAAAGGTTTCGAGTCACACCTAGACCAACAGAATGCATGGCATGTCTCGCTCCGGGCTCTGAAGAATGGGTTGGTTAGAAACTCTTAGTCCTAGGTGGGTGGGGGGCAACACCACTTAAGAAAACGCCACCCATGGCTTTCTGCCATAAATTCCTACCATTGGGGCTAAAATGGATCACGAGTCAAGTCGCAGAACTGAGATGGAGTGTTAAACAAAAATGGAGTTGCTTAGGTTTCTTCAAACATTATAATTCTTCCCTAGGGCCTTACTGCCTCGGCCTCCAGGAGGGGCGTTGCAGCTGTGGGGATAATTCTGAGGACTTTGCCCCCTTGGTCAGGGCTGTAAACCCTTTGAAGTCTTTTACTAAGCAACTCTAGGCTCCCAGGCTGACATTCCACTACTGAGTAACTAAAACCAGTCAGTTAAAATCATACAAAAACCATACAACCATCTAGCACAAAGCAATTCATACAGAAGCAAAAATGGGTGTTAGGTGCTGTCATATATATATAATTTTTTTTTACGTTCTTCAGGGACACAAAGACACAGACAAAAACGACACCCAGAGAGAGACACAGCTCCTAACAAAGACACAGACAGACAAAAAGACACCCAGAGAGACACACAGCTCCAAAGGCTGTTTGGTATTTACAGGGTAAAGGCAGGGGGTCTGACTTTTAAGTTATGCAAAGCTAGGTGCTTTGTCTTTGCTTTAACCACACCTGGTGTTAGTCTCTGAGTTTCCAGGTAAGAAAGCATTCTGCCTTAGAAGATATCCTTTTTTTTTTTTTTTTCTTAAAAGATATCCTTAACCTTGAAACAAGGAGACACCCTACTACCTTCATTTTGGGGCATCTTGTCAGGCAGTTTTAAATTCTTGGGTGAGAAATGCATCCCTTAGGAAAGAATGCATTCAGTTGCCTCTCTTTGAAGCAAAGATAGCATTTCTAAGTTTTTAGATAACGTATTTCTGAATTGCCTAGCCCAGGCCTGTTTCCATAAGTTATCCTGCTTCAATGTTACTGTGTTCTCCCTGAAGTCACACAGCAGAAATTAATCACCTTCCAACTAACAGCCAGAACAGCAGTGCTCACTCAGAATAAAGGCCTGCTGCCGGGTACATAGCTCAAATGAAAGACAAATTCCAAAGTACCAGAGATCAGAATTAGGTTACTCACCAGCCCACCAAAATCAAGAAGAGGAGGAAAGACAGGAAGTTGCCTTAGTAAGTGGCCTCAGAACCGGATTGGCTAATTAGTTCAAAGAGGATTTCTCCCCGCCCTCTCTTACCTTAATAGGGACTTCCTCCTCCAGCCCAATCTCTGTGAATCTTTGATGCTTCCAGCACTGTTTTTACATGAACCTTTTGTGTGTGTGTGTGTGTGTGTGTGTGTGTGTGTGTGTGTGTGTGCGCGCGCGCGCTCGTACTGGGGCTTGAACTCATTGCCTAGGACCTTAATGTTTTCCTCTCAGTGCTAGTGCCCTGCATTTTGCTGATTATTTTGGAAATGGAGTCTAGGTTAAAGTCCAGTTAGGCCCCATGAGACATTAAGCACCGTTCAAACAAGTGGCGCTGTGGCTAAAGTGGTAGAGCCCTGGCCTTAAGCTGAAGAGCGACAAGTGACAGAAAAGAAACACCACCAAGAAAAGAGGACGGGGGAGAGTAGTCTGAATTGGGTTATGAGGCCCCATGGCTGGTACCTCACCTCAGCCATTGAACTCAAGACGGCTGGCCGTGAGTCTGTTCCAAGCTCCAGCTAGGGAGGCATCCACCGGGCCCCCCCGCGGACGGGGATGGGTCCCCGGCATCTCCTGCCCGGTCTGCCCTCGCTTGGAGACCCGCTCTCTGGGAACTCACCTCCCCGAAAGTCAGGGAGAGACCTGTTAGGTCTGCTTTATGGCCCTAGTCTCAGACCTTCCCAAGGGACACGGGACGGAGTGACGTCGTGCACTCAGCTTGTAGCCCCACTGATGAGCTTCCCACCGCCCTACAAGAGAAAATCTGCTGATGCAGACTTTATAAGACTCCCGCGCAGAAAGAAACTTTATAGTCATGGTGATTTCCCACAAGCCACTGCGTCATGCAAATAAAGCGGGGTTGAAGGCTTCCAAGTATGTACCTTAAGGTTTTCCTCTAGGCCGCGTACGCTCTGCGTATTCAGCCACGTGACCCTGAGCCAGTGGTTGTTGGGAGCACGGTTGTGGCCTTCTGCGTTTGGATTCCATGGCGGCCAGGCGGAGCGGGAGCAGCGGCCTCAGGAAGCAAGGTTTGGAATGGATTATTGGGGGTGCGGAATGGCACAGGTTCCTGAAATCGTAAAAGGAATGGTGCTCCTTGCTCTCTCCCTCCCCTTCAGCTTCCTGTGGCTTGTATTTGGCTCCTAGATGAATTTTAAACTTTTAAAGTTGTTTTTCATACTAGTGCCAGCACTGTTGCTAATCCAACTAAAAAAATAAGAGAACGTCACAAGTAAAATGCGATTCTTAGACTCATTGGATTTATAGTCCTCTCTGTATTGTGGGTAGGTTCACTTTGTATATAAGATGTGCAAAGAACAAATTAGATACTATTGTTGACCTCTGTTTTGTTTGGAGTAACTGTAGTACTCACACCAGATAACCCACAAAGCACTCCACTAACCCTTATTTCCTACGGAAGTATTGGGGCTGGTGAGCCGTAGGCTTAAGCCAAGAGAAGAGACTCATGCCTCAATCTATGCATTTTGCTTTTATTTGCCTAGAACAGCAATTTAATAAGGATTGCAGAAATAGTTAAGAGTAACGGTATTGCAGCTACTGTTGGTTTTTTTTTTTTTTGTAAACGTACAAAACCATCTTAAAGCATTCCTTTAAATTTTCGTTCCAATATAGGAAGAACAGCAACAAAAGATTCTCCTCCGGCCAAGAAAACTCGAACATGCCAGAGGAAAGGAATGAAAAAGGGGCTTGTGGATGGAGAAAAGAATGATGAGGACAGGACAAAAGACAAGCAAGGTAAGCAGGCCAGAGGGGACATGGCCAGCAAAGGATCTATGAAGGGGATGGGATACCTTGTTTTTTCAATTCATTTCTTCCTCCCATAATGATATAGTTGAGTTTTCTATCATTTGTTCATATCACAGTACTTGCTGAGTCTTCTTTTTTATTTATTTATTTATTTTTGTCCGTCACGGGGTTTGAACCCTGGACCTGGGCACTGTCCCTGAGCTCTTCAATTCAAGGCTAGTGCTCTACCACTTGAGCCACAGTGCCACTTCCGGTTTTCTGGTGGTTAATTGGAGGTAAGAGTCTCACAGACTTTCCTGCCCACGCTGGCTTTGAACCACAGTCCTTAGATCTCAGCCTCCTGAGTAGCTAAGTGTGAGCCACTGGCGCCCTGGATGAGTCTTCATTTTTATAATATATATATTTGAGATGCAATGAGACTGAAGCAGATGACAAGGACTACTTAAGAAGACATGACATAACAGCTTTCTAGGCACTTTTCTAGATATTTTTAATTCCTGTATGAGCAATTGGAGTTCTTTCCTCAGAAACTGTGAAGGCCTTGCTGTTAAAAGGCAAAGCTCCTGTGGATCCAGAGTGTGTAGCCAAGGTGGGAAAGGTAAGAGGCTCTGGAATTGATTCTCAGTCCTTTGGTTTTCCAAGTATTCTTTTAGTAGGATTTCTGTCTAGGATGTTGCTAGTGTTCATTTTAGGAATGCTCTCTAAAAATTTTGCTAGTGATTAATTTGCTAAGATTAGAAATCAGTAAGTGTGTCAACATGGTTTCTTTTGGGGTTGCCATCAGCCTTTACACCTCTTTTTTCTTTTGTCGGTTGTGGAGCCTGAACTCTGGGTCTGGGTGCTGACCCTCAGCTCTTCCGCTCAAGGCGAGCGCTCTACCACTTAAGCCATAGCGCCACTTCTGGTTTTCTGGTGGTTAATTGGAGATAAGAGTCTCACAGACTTTCCTGCCCAGTCTGGCATTGAACCTCGATCCTCAGATCTCAGCTTCCTGAGTAGCTAGGATTATAGGCAGGAACCACCCCACCGGCGCCTGGCTCCCTGAGATACTTTTGCTAAGGCTAGCACTCTACCACTTGAGCCACAGTGCCACTTCTGCCTTTTTCTGTTTATGTAGTATTGAAGAATCAAACCCATGACTTCATGCATGCTAGGCAAGCACACTACCACTAAGCCACATTCCCAGCCCCACATCTTTTATCAACTAGAAAAGTATGTCATTACTAAGGGAAGGAGAGCTATCTTATTTTGATGAGTTGCTGATGAGTGGGGAAAGGATTTAAAGAATAAAGAAGAAGGGCTGGCAATGTGACTTAGTGGTGGAGTGCTTGCCTTGCATGCATGAAGTCCTGGGTTCAATTTCTCAGTACCACATAAACAGAAAAATATGGAAGTGGGGCTGTGGCTTAAGTGGCAGAGTGCTAGCCTTGAGCAAAAGAAGCTCAGGGACAATGCCCATGCTCTGAGTTAAGCCTCAGGACTAGCAAAAAAAAAAAGAAGAAAGAAGAAAAGCAAGTTTCTTTTATGTTTCTGTAATTCAATAGAGAGAGGACTATAAATCCAATGAGTCTAAGAATTAGAAAAAGGCTTTTCATTATAGTAATTGACAAGCTGTGTGTAATACATACATTTCTATTTCTTTCTCTGTTGAAGATGCTGGAGAGTAGACTGAGTTTATATATTGAGAGTATATATTTAGATATTGAGAGTAGACTGAGTTTACATAAATGTCATATTTCTTTCTAGGCTCATGTGTATTGTGAAGGAAATGACGTTTTTGATGTCATGCTTAATCAAGTAAGTGGGAAAATTCTTCTTGGTGACTGCTAATAGCCAGTGCCCAAATCTTTTAATTCTGTTTGTTTTTTGTTGTTTTTTTTTTTTTGCCGATTGTGGGCCTGAACTCTGGGCCTGGGCACTGTACTTCAGCTCTTCAGCTCAAGGTTAGCTTTCTACCACTTGAGCTACAGCCACTTTCCAGCTTTTTCTGTTTATGTGGTGCTGAAGCATTGAACCCAGGGCCTCATGCATGCAAGACAAGCACTCTACAACTGAGCCACCTTCCCAGCCCAATTCTGTAGTCTGTTATATTAGCTTGTAGTGAAACTTAATCACAACACATTGTACCTTTATGAGAAGCAGATCTTTTTGCAGACTTTGTCTTTTGTTGAACCTTTCAACATTCTTTTCACATCCATTTCAATATTTTCTTTTTTTTTTTTTTTTTTTTTTTTTGTCGGTTGTGGGGCTTGAACTCTGGGCCTGGGCGCTGTCCCTCAGCTCTTCAGCTCAAGGCGAGCGCTCTACCACTTGAGCTACAGCGCCACTTCCAGTTTTCTGGTGATTTATTGGAGATAGGAGTCTCACGGTCTCCTGCCGGGGCTGGCTTTGAACCGCGATCCTCAGATCTCAGCCTCCTGAGTAGCTAGGATTACAGGCGTGAGCCACCAGCGCCCGGCCATTTCAATATTTTCAATATGTTCTTGGTCTTTTTTTTCTTTTGCTGGCTTTGAGGGACTTTATTTGATAAGGAAAATAGCTTTTCTTTTTGTTTTGTTTTGTCAGTTGTAGGCTTGAACTCAGGGCCTGGGCACTGAGCTCTTGTGCTTAAGGCTAGCTAGTGTTCTAATTGAGCCATAGCACCACTTCCAGTTTTCTGGTGGTTAATTGGAGATAAGAGTCTCATGGACTTTCCTGCCCAAGCTGGCTTGGAACCACAATCCTCAAATCTCAGCCTCCTAAGTAGCTAGGATTACAGGCTTGAGCCACCAGACCTGGCTCATAAGGCCCCTTTTTGTTCTAACATCCAATGACTATAATGTCAACAGGCAAGAGATGGTGGTAGAAAGCAGCTGTACCTTCTTCCAGCACTAACTGGCAGCTGTGCCTAATCATGAGTGACACTCCCCACTTTAAATTATTTTCTTTTCTTTTTTCTTTCTTTCTTTTTTTTTTTTTCTGCCAGTTGTGGGGACTGAACTCTGGGCCTGGGCGCTGTCCCTCAGCTCTTCAGCTCAAGGCTATAGCATTCTACCACTTGAGCCACAGCACCACTTCCGGCTTTTTCTGTTTATGTGGTACTCAGGAATGGAACCCAGGGCCTCATGCATGCAAGGCAAGCACTCTACCACTGAGCCACTTTCCCAGCCATGATTTTCTTGCATATAACTCAATACTCCTCATTTTCTCTTTGAATATCTCCACATTTGATTAGGTTAGTTAGGGATAGGACAGATGTGGCAGTTGTTTCCATTAATCCTTCTTTCCCTGCTAAGATTTGCCCTGCTGAAGCTCTTTATCCAGTTTCTGAAGCTGACAACTGAAGCTCTAAAAGTAGAACAATCACAGAATAAGAAGTTATATTTAAATAAACACAACACTTGCAGACCTATAGAACATAAAAATTGTTTTCATTTGGAAAGCAATAACTGGGATAGAGTAGGAGCTAGAAAACAGTATAATCTGCAAAGTATCTATAGAGAACGCTAAAGCAGGAAGAACTAATCAGTGTAGGATATTGAGGTAATATATGAGGTTTTAGGAAGGCTTTCAGGCTTCCACTTAATTCCTAGGATTCCAGGGTTTATTTTATTTTGTCAGGTGCAGGTAGGTCTTGCCTGTAATTCTAGCTACTCAGGAGACAGCTCTGAGGAGCACAGTTCAAAGCCAGCCTAGGCAGGAAAGTTCACCAGACTCTTATCTCCAGTTAACCAGTAAAAAGCTAGAAGTAGAGATGTGGCTCCAGTGGTAGAGCACTAGCATTGAAAAAATTCAAGTTCAAACCCCAGGCCCATCACAAAATAAATAAGTAAACTCTGTTCTTCATAGTCTTAATCTGACAGGAATCTTTTTTTTTTCTCTCATCATACCAAGAGTCATTGGTTTGTGTGATTCACAATTACTGAATTATTATTTTCTCACTTATCATAGACCAATCTCCAATTCAACAACAACAAGTACTACCTTATTCAGCTGTTAGAAGATGATGCCCAGAGGAACTTCAGTGTCTGGATGAGATGGGGCCGAGGTAATGACTAATATGGAGGATTTTATGAGTTGTCATTCAGAATGCCAGAAGCAGTGTAGTGTGTGGGTAGGTTTAAGTTGGGAAAATAGAAGTTCTGAGAGGAGCTTAGGACTTAAGATAGCCTTCTCTAAGTTTGGGAATGATAGGCATCCTCACTAGGAAATTTCCAATGGAAAGACTAAGAACAGCCCCATTAAGTCTGAGAACCCTTCTGCAATGGACTACTGGTACTGCTCATAGGTTAAGGCAGTTAGCAGGTAGTATGTATCAATAAGATTGGTTCTCTAAGCCCTTTGACCTTTCTCTTCTTTTCCTGCCAATTAGTCCAATGTAAGCAGAGACACCTTGGCAATCTGCCCCATTATTGTTAAAGAACTTCTTTTGGGACACAATTCTGCAAACCATCTTACAGCATTTCCTTTGCAGTTGGGAAAGTGGGGCAGCACAGCTTGGTGGCTTGCTCAGGTGACCTCACCAGGGCCAAGGAAATCTTTCAGAAGAAGTGAGTGTTAAAAATAAATACTAACCTGTCTTCTTGAATCTGCATTGTTAATTTTTTTTTACATATATGACAAAAGTTTGTCAATTCTATTCCACCTGTGGTTAGAACATTAGTTGCTTTTGTTTATTAAATCTACCTACAGGGCTGGGAATGTAAGTGCTTACCTAGCATGCATGAAGCTCTGAGTTTGATTCCTCAGTACCACATACACAGAAAAAGCTGGGAATGGCACTGTGGTTCAAAGTGATAGAGCACTAACCTTGAGCAAAAGAAGCTCAGGGACAGTGCCCAGGTTCCAAGTTCAAGCCCCAGCACTGGCAAATAAAAAAAAAAAAAATCAACCTACAACCTTGAGATTTACTGAAACAAGAAGAATGTGTTTAAAAAGCAACAAACAGGGCTGGGAATGTGGCTTAGTGGTAGAGTGCTTGCCTAGCATGCATGAAGCACTGGGTTCAATTCCTCAGTACCACATAAACAGAAAAGGCCAGAAGTGGTGCTGTGGCTCAAGTGGTAGAATGCTATCCTTGAGTGAAAGAAGCTCGAGAACACTGCCCACGCCCTGAATTCAAGCCCCAGGACAGGCAAAAAAAAAAAAAATCTAGAAAATTTGGGGAAAGAATATCCAGTTATATTTACTGTAGCTTGGCACTGGCTCATGCCTTTAATCGTAGCTACTCAGAAGGCTGGGGTCTGAGGAGCATGGTTCAATGCCAATCCAGTTTGAAAGAAAGTCCATGAGACTCTTACCTCCAATTAACTACCAAAAAAATCCAGAACTGGGGCTACAGTTCAAATGGTAGAACACTAGCTTGAAGAAAAAAAAAATTCAGGGCCATAGTATCTAACCCCTGAGTCCAAGCCCCAGGAAAAGCATCTTCCCCCCCCCCCCTCAAAAAAAAAAAATTACAGTGAAATCTCTGGGAAGGGCTGGGAATATGGCTTAGTGGTATGCTTGCCTAGCACACATGAAGCCATGGTTCGATTCCTCAGTACCACATAAGCAGAAGAAGCCACAAGTGATGCTGTGGCTCTCAAGTGGAAGAGTGATAACTTCGAGCAAAAGAAGCTCAAGGACAGTGCCTAGGCCCTGAGTTCAAGCCCCAGGACTGGCAAAAACAAAAGCAATAATTAAAAATAAATAAGTCTCTGGGAATATATTATATTCAGAAAAGTATTAGACACATAGTTTTTATTTTCAGTCTCAATGGCTTTTGTGTGTTGGAATTTGGGAAGCCTACAGATCCCTTTCTCTTTTTCTTTTTTTTTTTTTTTTTTTGGTCATGGGGCTTGAACTTGGCCTGCACACTGTCCCTGAGCTCTTTTGCTCTCTGTACCAATTTAAGCCATAGCTCCACTTCCAGTTTTCTGGAAGATTAGAGATAAGAGTCTCACGTCCTTTTCTGCCCGGGCTCATTTTGAACCACAATCCTCAGATCTCAGCCTCCTGAGTAGGTAGTTATGAGTAGGTAGGTGTGAGCCACCAGCACCAAGCTCCTGTTTGTTTGTTTTTAACTAATTGCTTTATTTCACAGTTTTCCCATCCACATATTATCCTAATTTAGAATTAATATTTGTGGAAAACAGATGTGTGAATGACCTGTGTAAGGGGAAATATTTTGGAGGCTTTATAAGGAAATAATTGTTAGTCCATTCCTGATAGCAGACCTTCATTCGTAAAGGTTTTGTTTTGTTTTGTTTTCCACCGTCTGGGACTTTACAGATTCTTTGACAAAACAAAAAACAATTGGGAAGATCGTGAGAAGTTTGAGAAGGTACCTGGAAAATATGACATGCTACAAATGGATTATGCCACCAATACACAGGTAAACTCTTGACCGAACCCATGGGGGTAAGTCCAACAGGATAGCTTACATCAGTCTAAGATCAGAACAAGCCAGAATGTCTTGAGATATTGTTGTTTCTCACCTCCGAGATAACTTCTTACTGTTTATTACCAATTAAGAGCTAGGATGATAGAGCCAGCATGTTGAGACCCTATGTTTGATCCCCACATTGAAATTAAAAATTAATTTTGTCAGGCTGTGGTTCACTAAGATGGCAAAATCAAACATGTGAAAATGGAGACAATTTAATATTACTAAGATCAGAAACGTTGAGGTATAATAGCTATATTTACATATTTAATGTTATTAGGAGGGCCTTTTGGACTTTGCTCTGAATGTTTGACTGGGAGAGGCAACTCTAGCATTCTTATGATTAGTCACATTGGCTGCTCTAACTAGACTACTAGTGAGAAATGACCTGTGTTCAAGCAGACTTTGACTGACACCATTCTGTAAAAACACTCCTTGCAGGATCTCAAAATCGATCCTTTCTGTTTTTATGGATTTTATTTGTTTTGCTATAGGAAGAAGATGAAACAAAACAATACCAGTCTCTTAGTGATGCCTTGAAGCCACCATCCAAGCTAGACCTTCGCGTGCAGGAGCTGATAAAGCTAATCTGTAACATCCAAGCCATGGAAGAGATGATGATTGAAATGAAGTATGACACGAAGAAAGCCCCACTTGGTAAGATTTCAAATTGTATGCTACATCCCTGCTTCATATTTCACAATTTATTTAGTGGGATATGTTGTTGCTACTATGATTTAAAGCTTGCTGAAAGTACTGAATAAAGAAATCAGATTTGAAGGTGAAGGTTAGAGGAGGTGATGAAGGTAATATTTTGAAAGACTAGTTTGGGGTTTGATCTCTGCCTGGGCCTCCAGGGAAGCTGACCATGGCACAAATCAAGGCAGGTTACCAGTCTCTTAAGAAGATTGAGGATTGTATTCGGGCTGGCCAAGATAAACGAGCACTCCTGGAAGCATGCAATGAATTCTACACCAGGATCCCACATGACTTTGGGTAAGGCTTGTGCAGCTGCTTGTTTGTTGTTGTTCCTGCCTATATTTCATACAACAATCAATAACTGTAATCCTTTTCATCTTTATAACTAAAGAAATTATCATCTGAAATATGGAGTCAAAATTATTTGTTGATAAGCCTCTCTATTCAGTTTAGGAATAGAGAATACAATAGAAATAGAGAGGAAAGAAGGGAGGAGGGAGGGAGGGACAGTGCAGTCTATGTGAGCACCCAGCCTGAGGAAAATGTATTCTCTGACCAGTGGAAGTTACTAACTCCAGAGACTATCAGAACACTACATAAAACACCTATAAGCCTACCTATCAACCCTTTCCTTTTTCTTTAAGGTGACTTTAACCACACAATCATTTCTGTGAACCCAGATGATTTTATTAGATATATAATATGCATGTTCTTTTTGATTTTTTTTTTTTAATGGTACTAGGGATCAAACTAGAACCTTGCCTTGTTAGCCAATTTTTCTTCCACTAAGCTATATCACCAGTCTTAGTCTTTTTTTTTTTTTTTTTTTTTTTTGTGCTGGTCCTGGGGCTTGAACTCAGGACCTGGGCACTGTCCCAGAGTTATTTTGCTCAAGGCTAGAGCTCTACTGCTTGAGCTGCAGCTCGCTCCACTTCTGGCCTTTTAAAAAAAAATTTTTATTCATCTGTTACAGGGCTTGAACTCAGAGTATGGGCGCTGCCCCTAAGCTCTCTTTGTGTTCAAGGCTAGCACTCTACCACTTGAGCCATAGCACCACTGTCAGTTTTTGAGTGGTTAATTGGAAATACAAGTCTCACAGGGACTTCTGCTCTGGCTGGCTTTGAACCATGATCCGCAAATCACAACCTCCTAAGTAGCTAGGATTACAGGTGTAAGCTACTGGCGCCCAGCTACTTCTGGCTTTTTTAGGTGGTTAAAGTATAAGAATCTCAGGGGCTTTCCTGCCTGGCCTGGCTTTGAACTGCAGTCTGCTGACCTCAATTTTCTGAGTAGCTAGAATTACAGATGTGAGCCACTGACACCTGGCTTGGTTGCTTTTTACTATGGTTGTCACTCTATTTCTATTCCTTCTACTGATTCATAGAACCCTATGATTTAACTGTGTGAGTAGTCACCTCTGTTTCTAAACTGTGCCCACTCTATGTGTTAGATGGCAATATAACAAAAGATTTTTTAAAAATCCAACTATATTTCCAAATGTGAAAGTCTGTGTAGCTTGTTTTAGTATGCTCAGAATATATCTGGAAATTAAAGTTTTTATAGATTGCATTCTTTCAATTGGAAAACTCTAGTTTCTTGTATCTATTTTGTAAAAGACTTATTTTTAGTTATGTGGCTTTCGCCAACAAATCAGACAGTTAATTTTGGTTATATCTCTGTCCTTAGACTCCACACTCCTCCATTAATCAATACAGAGAAAGAACTGTCAGACAAAGTACAACTGCTAGAGGTGAGCTATGTATGGTTTGGAGAGTAATGAGCCACTTGTCCTGTGTTCCCTTACACTGGTTATATATTTCATCTTCTCAGGCTTTGGGAGACATTGAAATTGCCATTAAGCTAGTGAAGACAGAACTCAAAAGCCCAGAACACCCCCTGGACCAGCATTACAGAAACTTACACTGTGCTTTGCACCCTCTAGACCATGAAAGTTATGAGTTCAAAGTAAGAAAAATGGTCATCTATTTTCATACCCTTATGCCCCATAAGACCCATTCTCCCCATCCCACTGTTCTCTGAGGATTTCTGGTTTAAAACAGAAATCTGGCTAGGGCAGAATTTCTATTTACTAGGAAATTGGGAAAGAGTTTTTCCAAATTGATGTTTGAGACTATTTGGGAACATAAGTTGCTGTGAAGTTAACACAGAAGCCTTCAGTTTTTCCGTTCAGCCAAGTTCTTGTTTATCTACACTGGGCATTTTCTTTCCCACAGGTGATTTCCCAGTACCTACAGTCTACCCATGCTCCTACACACAAAGACTATACCATGACTTTACTGGATATTTTTGAAGTGGAGAAAGAGGGTGAAAAGGAAGCCTTCAGAGAGGACCTTCCTAACAGGTCTCAGAATCTAGTTTGGATTTAGATGTTCTTGCTTAAAGTGCAGTTAAGGACTAAAATGATGACAGAAATAGCTGTTAGCTTTCTAATGTTTACAACTTATATTTTCAGGACAGTATGTACAATTATGGCTTTTTCTTAGGATGTTGCTATGGCATGGTTCCAGGCTGAGTAACTGGGTGGGAATCTTAAGCCACGGGCTTCGAATTGCCCCACCTGAGGCTCCCATCACAGGTTACATGGTGAGTAGAAATTGAACTAGGAAAAGGATAAAATCATGGCCTCAGTCCTTTTTTCTCTCAGTAGATTAGGACTAGATGTTATTCCTCCCCAAGAACTGAGCCAGCTCACCATCATCTCTTACTGTGTACTTCAAATTCTATCTGTCCATTTCTCCAAAAGTTTTACAGATGTTCCTACATCTCTGGAACAGAATTGTTAATGGCAGTGGTGAAGGGTCTGAATTATGTTTCAGAGAATGGAAAACCAGGAACATGTTAAGGGTCTATATACTGTCTATATTCACCTCTGTATGACAGAATTATAACTGTGACAACAGAAATAGAAAATCAGGGTCAGTGATACAAGCATTTTTTTTATAATGGGCTATGTGGCTAACCCTGGTCTTTGAATATTTTAGTTTGGGAAAGGAATTTATTTTGCTGACATGTCTTCTAAGAGTGCCAATTACTGCTTTGCCTCTCGCCTGAAGAACACAGGACTGCTTCTTTTATCAGAGGTGAGGCAAGAATACATTTATGATCTCTATTATGAATTCCTATTTTTTTCCAGTGAGAAAAGTTTGATCTCAGAACTAAGACATTTACCTGGAATGTCTTAGGGGAGAGCCAGTTACATTAGATTCCTGTGCTAGAGGAAGAGGAGAACTATAAATGGGCATGTTCTGGTTGGGTTTAGAGCCACCTAGTTTTCCACAAGATGTGGGCATTCAAAGATCATTCTCTTTGCAGGTAGCTCTAGGTCAGTGTAATGAGCTACTGAAGGCTAATCCTGAGGCAGAAGGATTACTTCAGGGCAAACACAGCACCAAGGGACTTGGCAAAATGGCTCCTAGTCCTGCCCACTTCATCATCATGTAAGTTTTCAGAGCCAACAAGCTAGATGACTACTTTCTCTACTCAAACATCTGAACTAGAGGCTAATGTTAACACATCTTATATTTGGCAGGAATGGGAGCACAGTGCCCTTAGGACCAGCAAGTTTCACAGGAATTCAGAATCCAGAGGGTTATACCCTCAACTACAATGAGTTTATAGTCTATAACCCCAACCAGGTCCGTATGCGATACCTTCTAAAGGTTAAGTTTAATTTCCTACAGTTGTGGTGAGTGTTGATATGAAACCAGAAAAGATACAATCTTCAACCAAGAAAACAAGCAGTGTCTTACTTTTAAACTTTTTGATATTTTGTATAATAAAAATAGTATAAATCTACCACTGGCTTCCAATGATTTTATTCTTTCTTAGATCAGTATTCTTCATGTCCAAGACAGAAAGTATGCATTGCTGTGTGTATTCCACAGCTGGCTGCAGATTATCAGGATCCTATTCCTACAGGATTGCATTGAGGATGCTAAAGGGCACTAATCCTTTTCCCTGAGGAATTCAAGCAAGTTTGTTGAGTAGAAGCCCCAAAGAATTGTTCATGTTTCTCCCAATCCAAAGCTTAATTGCTTTCTTCCTAGTTACCAGCTACAAAACATGTCTTAAGTTTTAGAAAGCATTTCACATCTGTATTTTCTGAAAATAATGAAAAAACTTCATCTATCATTAAAACATAAATTATCAAGACCTTTTTTAGAAATAATAAGATGATACTTGTAACACTGAAAACAACTGGAATTCTGGATGCCCTCTGCATCCAGAATTCCAGAACATAACTGTACTGATTACTCAATTGTTTGAGATCAGGAAGACTGCAGTTTGAGACCTACTGGACAAAAAAATAAAAATAAAATTAGGGAGACCCTATCTAAATCAAGCTGGATGAGATAGTCACACCTATAATTCTGTCATACAGGAGTGCATAGGTAAGAAAATCATAGTCCAGGGCCTGGGAAGTTGGCCCAATGGTAGAGTGCTTCCCTCACATGCATGAGGCTCTAGGTTCAGTTCCTCAGCATTATGTAAGCAGAAAAAAGCCAGAAGTGGTGCTGTGGCTCAAGTAGTAGGGCACTAGCCTTGAGCTGAAGAACTGAGGAACAGACAGCGCCCAGGCCCAGAGTTCAGTCCCCACAACGGACCAAAAAACAAGAAAAAAAATCATGGTCCAAGTCTAGCCCCTGGGGGAGAAAAACCCTACCCAAAAAATAAAAACAAAAAAGAGCCAGGAATGTGGCTCAAAGGATAGACAGCGGCATAGCAAGTGTGAAGCCTTGAGTTCTAATATTGGCACCACCAAAAATGAACAAGAAAAAAAGCATACTCAAGCTTAAGTCAAGCTAGCCTTTGTTAAATACCATGTGTCAGTTTTACACCTCAATTTATTTCATCCTTAGAAGAAACTCATGAAGCTGGGTGCTGGTGGCTCACATCTAATCCTAGCTACTCAGGAAGCTGATTTTGAGGATCACCATTCAAAGCCAGCTTGAACAGACAAATATCCGAGACTCAATTCTTAGCTCCAATTTAAAAAGCCAGAAATGAAGGCATGTATAGTGCCATTTGCAAGCTGAGTGAGAACAGGCCTGGAGTTCTAGCCCCAGAACTGGTACACACACTCTAACTATATATCTATATATAGCAATGTGTGTGAATATATATATATATATTAAATGAATATATATGAATAAGGAAATGAAGTAAAAGTAAGATATAAGCCTCAGTTTTCATTATTGAATCTGTCAAACTATAAGATTATTTCTCAAATTTCTGTAGTTTCTAAATGCTTGCTCCTAACTTCTATCTCATTGTATTTATTTATTGACTAACACTAGTCCATGAACTAAATTTTAAGTATCTCCGCTCTAGATTTCAGAAACATCTTTATGAATGTTAAAATAGACATATGAGGGGCTGGGAAGGTGGCTCAGTGTTTGCCTTGCATGCCTGAGGCCCTGGGTTCGATTCCTCAGCACCACATAAGAAAAAAGCCGGAAGTGGCACTGTGGCTCAAGTGGTAGAGTTGAGGGACAGCGCCCAGGCCCAGAGTTCAGTGTTCAGGCCCCACAACCAGACCCCCCCCCCCAAAAAAAAAAGACATATGAAGCTGGATATGGTGGTTCATGCTAATAACCCCAGCAATCAGGAGGCAGGAGCAGGGGGATCAAAAAAGTTCAAAGCTGGCCTGGAGTGACTCACCTATAATTCTAGCTACTCAAGAGGCTGAGATCAGAGGATTCAAGTTCAAAGCAAATGTTGGCAGACAAATCTGTGAGACTTTTCTTCAATTAACTGCCAAAAAGCTGAAAGTGGAGATGTGGCTCAAATGATGGAGCACTGACTTTGAGCAAAAAACTCAGGGACAGGACCCAGGTCCTGAGTTCAAGCTCCAGACCTGGCACTTAAATGTATGGTAGGGATATAGTAGCAGTAGCTTACCAGGTGTGCATAAATTGCTGGGTTTGATTCCTAGCATAACAAAAAATATGTAAATTTGATATATGAAAGAGAAGGCTTTGTGGCTAGGCAGAAGAAATGTCCTCTGATACCTCAGTCCAGTGGCTCTTCATTGTGGAACTTATCCAAGTATGAGAAGAAACCGAAATTCTGTGTACTGATAACAATCTAAACACTGCTTAATATAAAACACAACTAAATTGCCCTTTCAACACTTGTGGGTACCTGTAGTGGTCCCCCTCATCCATAAGAGACATGTTCCAAGACCCCAAGTGGACGCCTGAAACCACACATGGTACCAAACCCTAAATACATAGCTTTTTTTTTTTTTTTTTTTTCCAGTCGTGGGGCCTGAACTCTGGGCCTGGGCGCTGTCCCTCAGCTCTTCAGCTCAAAGCTAGCGCTGTACCACTTGAGCCACAGCGCCACTTTCAGCTTTTTTTCTTTTTGCTACTTGAACACAGGCACAATACCATGATAATTAATTTTTTAATTAATGTATTAATGCCACTGGGATTTGAACTCAGGGCCTTGAGTACTACTGGCTTGCTTGTTCATGGCTGGAACACTACTACTTAACCATCCCTCCAGCCTTGCTCTTTGCTGGTTAATTGAAGTCTGTCCAGGCTGACTGCAAACCACCATCCTCCTTGTCTCAGCCTCCTAAGTAGGTATGAAGGTATGAGTCATTGACACCCAATGACAGTTGGTAATTTTAAAGTGAATTTAAAGTAGATAAGTGGTGATTTGTGTCCAGGGTAAGATGGAGAGGACAGAGTAAGATTTCTCCATGCTACACAGAGCATCACACAATTAAAAACTTGGGCCTGACATCAGTGGCTGACATGTTTAACGACTCAGGAAGCTGAGATCTGAAGATCAAGATTCAAATCCAGTGTGGGCAGCAAAATTCTGGGACTCTTATCTCCAATTAAATCACCAAAAATCCAGAAGTAGAGGTGTGGCTCAAGTTGTAAACCATCATTCCTGAGCAAAAATATCTCAAGGACAATTCCAGGCCCTGAATTCAAGCCCCAATGCTTAGCATACATACACACAACAGCAAAAACAAAAAACTTGGAATGTATTTCTATTTTCTTTGCTGCTGCTGCTGCTTCTTCCTCCTCCTCTTCCTCCACTTCCTCCTCCTCTTCTTCCTCCTCCTCCTCCTCTTGCGCTGTTACTAGGGCTTGAACTCAGGGCCTTGTGCTCTCACTCAGCATTTTTTCTCAGAGTGCTCTACCACTTGAACCACCTCTCCACCTTCACTTATTTCTCAGTTTTCTATTTTTTGGACTAAAATCAGAAAGAATGAAATCAGTAATTTCTTTTCTTTTTAGCAGTGCTAATGGTTGTACCTAGAGCTGTGTGCATACTGGGAAAGTGCTCCATCCCTGAGTTACACCTTGGCCCCTTAGTGACTTTTAGAATGATGTCATGGTTCTCTACAAGATATTTCAAATAATCTTAACAGATTTGTAGTCATGAGGTCAATATGGAAGGAAGTGAGGATCCAGAGACACTTGTAGAGCATTTGGGCAAGGCACATGAGAAACAAATCACTTATCAAGCTGCATCAGCCAGACTCTTATTTCCAACTAACCACCAAACAGCTGGAAGTGGAGCTGTGGCTTAAGTGATAAAAGCACTAGTCTTCAGCACAAAAGCTGTGATAGCACCCAGGCTCTGAGTTCAAGCCCTAGGAGCACATGCGCACACACATACCACACATGCACACACAAACACAGGAGAGTACAACAGACTATTGGGGTAGGGGATACTGCAGGAGGAGGGAGGGTGAATGAGGAAGTTGAATATGGTCAAGTACTTTATACACATGTATGAAAATAGAACAATGAAATATATTGAAATTGCTTTAAGAAAAGGGACAGTCAGGGTGATAGAGTGTGTTGTGTGTTTTTGTGGAAATGTTACAATCAAACCCCCCTTGTACAACTAATCTGATAATAAATCCTCTGTGTGTGTGTGTGTGTGTGTGTGTGTGTGTGTATACATGCATGCGCACACCAGCGCTTTGGCGCTGTCCCTTAGCTTTTATACTCAAGGTTGGCACTTGAGCCAAAGCTCCACTTCTGACATTTGGCTAATTAATTGTACGTCTTGTAGACTTTTCTAATCAGGCTAGCTTTGAACCTTACACCTTAGATCTCAGCCTCCTGAGTAGCTAGGATCACAGGCATGAGCCATGGGAGTCCAGCATTTTACACACACACACACACACACACACACACACACACACACACACACACGACTGATCCACCTTTGAATGTGTTTTAAGCTTTGTTAGTTTCAATAAAAGATTTCTCCCAAGAACAGCAATGATTATATTATATGAACTATTGCCTGCAAGTCACATGGAAAGCCAGCAGACCTTGGCCTGCTCACTGGGGCACTTAGTTCTCACAGCTGGTTCAATGATGGGACTCAGTGTTTCCTAGTTCTAGACATTCATTTCTCATTCCTCCTTCCCTCATTCTTTCTGGATCAAACAAGAGTATTTTGCTCTACTCAAATTAAGTGCTAACCAACATGACCCTTGTTTTTTCTCCATAAAGAATGGGATCTAGTGTGTAGGGCAGCAAAGATCAAGGGAATTTTTTTTTTTCTTTTTTTTGGCCAGTAGTGGGGCTTAAACTGTAGGCCTGGGCACTGTCCCTCAGCTCTTCAGCTCAAGGCTAGCACTCTACCACCTGAGCTACAAAACCACTTCCGATTTTCTAGTGGTTTATTGGAGATCATGGCTTTAAACCATGATCCTCAGTTCTCAGCCTCCTGAATAACTAGGATTACAGGCATGAACCACTGTCACCCAGCATAACAAGGGAATTCTTTTTTTATATATCTATATATGTTTT